CCGCCCCTGGAGGATACGGATATGCGCCCCCACCCGGTCCCCCGCCTGGTCCCCCTGGAGGATTCGCGTTCCCCGAGGCATCGCCGTATGGAAGCTATCCGTCGCAGAACTCTTCGCAGGGCGGATACGGAGAGCCCCACCATTCGCACCATCATGGACATAGGAGATGAGTATGTGAATCGAAGGGACTTTGTCGTGGACGATTGTAAATTGGAAGTTGTCATCCTGAGTATCACTGATGTATATGCATCCGCAACTGTTTCTGTAATTATAACCTGTGAGCTTGCAATGACTAGTATGACGACGTCACTCGTTCCTATTCTCATGGATGTATGAGGCTCCTGGTCTCAGCATTCAACCACTAGTAATCGCCGCAAAGATGAAAATAGTTCATCAAATCAGTTGACAGCTGCTCGACCTAAATAAATATGCGCAAGATGTGGTGGTACACAGGTACAAGGATGGGTGCTTTTGAGTGAACGATAATGGTACATTGCAGCAGAGATTATCGGCTGTAAGTAAATCAATAATTAGAGTGTCCAAGGTATGTCGTAATTACGAGGTATCGTGTCCGTATAAGGTCCGTAAAGGGAGCGTAGGCGTCAGAAGCGGACGAAGCAGATATGGAAAAGGCGGGGAAATGAACGGCAGAAGCGTAGTGTTAGTCTTGTCTGTCGACGATGGTCATAAGGCCGGGGATGCCCCGCGCTTGGTTGAGGGCGACGGGCTTTTGAGGGTCTGGTCTGTCTGAGCGCGCAGCGTGTGCTGAGTAGCGGATCTAGGAGCGCAGCGTCAGACCAGCATGAACGGAGGGCGCGGGACGAATACGCACATGCACTCTGAACGTCCTCCCGTCGTGGCCCGGCCCGCGAATTGTGCAGGTCCATCTGTGCAACGTCGATCAGCGGCGCCTACGGAGAGGAACACGTAGGATGCGGAAGGTGAAACGGACACGCACTGCTCGCTGACTAGCACGGTGGCTCCAAAGGCCTGTGCATCTTCGTAGAGCGTCGCGCGCACGAGGCGGAGGAGCTTGGCAACGTCAACGCCGTCACGGCAGTCGAACGTATCTTCCTGGATGAGCGGGATCCTGCGCGGGGAGACGGCACCTGGGGTGTCGAGACCGGGGTGGGTGAAGGGCCAGTCGCCGGAGGTAAACTCAAGGAGGGGACGCATGGCCTTGAGGCGATGGCGGCGCATGCGGATGAAGATGTTCGCGACGCCGGCGAAGTTGAGCGGCATGAGGGCGCGTTTTGCAGAGGACGAGGAGGAGGTGGAGGAGGCGAGGGAGAAGGGGGAGCGGAGGGGGGAAGGTGGCGGGGAGGAGAGTCCGGGGAGGGTCATCACGCTGGCGGGGGATGGAGGCGAGAGGAGGGAGGGCGGGCGCAGTGGCGAG